ATTAAATGTCATAATGTACATCATTCTGATTGGATTTAAGGGCATACACTGTCTAACATCAGCAACAACCAATCCACCATACGAGCATGCAAGCCCTAAATTCCAAATTTGGATTTTTTGCCAATTTTCATCCGAAAAATCCAAAACAGCTTCAAACCACCATGAAACTTATACCAAAATTCCCCTAAAATTAGGGCAAATCAGCGACCATCAAAGACCCATAAAGATGCCACCGACTGTACAGACTGCTGACGTCAACCGACGGCATGCTGACATCAGCAAATCTGTCTGTGAGTCACGATCAGAAGGAGAGTTTTCTTGATGGTGAGTTGCTCTGATACTAAGTTGCAAAGTTTAGAGATGTTGAAGAGAGAAGAAAAGGAGGAGGCTTTTCATTTTCTTATTCATAAGCAAAATTACAAAGGTGCCCTTGAATAGGCGCCCAAATACAAAATAACACAAAAAGACAGAAATGCCCTCACACTTTTAACACTTTCCCTTCCTTTTCTTTTGTATGAGGCACGTGCATGAAGCCTACACCTCAAGAGGCATCAACACCTCCAGCATGAACCTCAAGGTGTTTGGAGGGCGTCTCCAGACATAGGTCTCCCATGCCTTTTAAAACATTGATCAGAGTGTTCCTAATGTCAAGTATTTTTCTATGCTTTTCTAACTATGGTCCTAGTAGACATTTCAAATAATGTGGAAAGAGAGAAAATCAAGTATGCATGTTTAAGTTGTATTTTATGATCTAGTGCTTTCTATTTAAGACTATAGTTGTCATGCATCACACTATAAGGTAATTTGTCCATATATTTTAATGAATCTTGGTTCAGGATCAAACTTACCAAGTAACACGGTGTGATTTTCTTCTCTAAGTTGCCTGTAGGCTGTGATTGGTTGCACTTGGAAAATTATATTTAATTGGAAAGTGAATCATTTTCCTGGTTTGTATCTTAACTTGGAAAACAAATCTGAATGGTTGAGAAATATACAAGTATTATAATGTATGAATCCAGCAGACGAAACTCTGTTTGGAAATGACTTGAAGAAAATTAGGAATGTCAATTTCCTACAATTAGTTCTTACTGTTTTTAAAATGTTTTCTTTCATTAGCAATTTTACATGTAACCAAAAACCATAAAATAGCATTTTATTGAAATACTCCATTTTCCTCATTTTTATATGCAACCAAATGGAATCATCATTAAAATTATTTTATTTTCCCAAATCACATCACTACCATGGTCTATGTACTTAAGTTTACCCATCATGCCATCTGGAGGGCTGTATTATTATCTCAGCCTGCTTGCAAGCTTTACTCTGCATACATAGTCTCAGGAACTAGATTTACTTTCTTTGAGGCAGGACAGAGCAGCATCCATTTCCACTTTGGCTGACATGGGTCTGGGAGATTGGTTTGGAGGTTTCTTATATTCAGCTGGACAACAAGCTAATGAAGCTGTTCAGGACCAGTTGTCAACTCTCAGCTTCACTAGGTTAACATCTGCCTGTAATCTTTGATTTGCATTTAGTATTCAGATGTTCAGCATCTGGTGGTTTTTCTGTTCTCTTATTCTCCCATTCTTATTCCTTGTCCCAGTTTAGCAGTTATTTTTGGAGCAGGGCTTGTAACTAGTCTATCCCCTTGTACACTAAGCGTTTTGCCATTGACCCTTGGCTACATTGGTAAGAATTTTTGATACACAGACCTGTTGCCTCATTGCAATTGCATCTCTCTCTCTCTCTCTCTCTCTCTCTCTTCTTTTTGTTTCTTCACATTTCTTGCTGTTTCCGTGGTCTTACTGCAAATCATTTAGGAGCGTTTGGTTCTGGGAAAAATAGAGCTAAGGTAAAGTTTGTGCTAAGTTAACTTCTACAAATTCTGTTTACCTTTTATACCAAGATTGTCCAATTTGTTTCGGAGATCTCTTGAACATTGAAAGCATCACTAATTGAGCCAATCAGCAGAGAACTTGGTTTAGTTGGCCTTTGTCTGTTATAATATTTTTACCACTTACCATGTTTCTTTTAAGTGAAAATTCATATCTGTTTTGTTTGAGTTAAACAAGATATTCATGCAACCAATTCTCTATCAGATAATTGGGGATTCAGTTGCTTTCTCATTGGGCTTGGCAACAACATTAGCAATCCTAGGCATAGCTGCTTCATTTGCCGGCAAGGCTTATGGACAAATTGGGCAAGGATTACCAGTAGCTGCTTCAGGCTTGGCTATTGTTATGGGTTTAAATCTTCTGGAGGTAACTAAACATTATTTTGATTATATATATAGTGATTTTCAGGGAGTATTGTGTGCTTACATTATATTTTAACAAATGCTTTGTCCCAATTACAGGATTAAGGTAGCAGATAGTGTTGTGTATTTCACATTAATCTTTATTCACCATTCTCCTAAGGATTTCCCTAGTTAAATCCCAATGATCAGCTTTCAGCTTTGAAAACTATATTTTCTAAATTATCACCTTTGAAAACTTTCACTCTGCTAAAACTCCAGCTCTCACAACACCGGATCCAATTGAAAGGAGTTTTTGATGCTTTCTAGGTTTACACAAATAGCCAGCAAATACAATTGGAACATCTACTTGTTTATTTTTTTCCAAGCCAGAACATGTACTTATTGAGTTAAGTTACAATTTTACACAAATATGTTGATCATAGTTGGTTAACTTAGCTCTAATCCCAACTGTTTGAGATTGGTTACATGAACCCTCCATGCCCTTGTGTTCTATCAAGAGTTATGTCTTTTATTAATATCCATTTCTTACTACAGCCCATTATCTCCCTCGGCCATCCCCTTGCTCGTTTAGAGCTTTCTACTTGCACCAAATCACACCTTACCAGTATAGTCAGCAGTTATCTATGCACATGGCTAGACCATCACAATCAATTTTCCCTTATTTTTTCACCTAGAAGGACTACTCTTATTCCTTTTTAATGTGCTTGATTCTTGTTCTGTCCTTCCTAGCTTTGTCAATCATCTACCTTGGCACCTTTGTTTCAGGTATCATCATTTTCTAGCCATGTCCATTTATTTATTGTTCGGTATTCTGTTCCATATAGCATTGTTGGTCTTTTATTGATCAAAGTTGGTCTAGTTATGAAATCTCTCCCTCGACTTTCATGCATGATGTTTAGCCACCTTCTAATCCTTATAACATTGAGAATCGTTTCTAAAATGATTCTGTGTGATTTTTTTAATCCTCTGCCAAAAAAATGTTTATGCTAATATCGGTGTCCATCTTTTTCAGATAATTGAACTACAACTTCCTTCATTTTTTAACAATTTTGACTCCCGTGCTGCTGCAGCTAACTTTCCTTCAAGTAATTGGGCTTCTCCCTCTCATTGCAATGTTTCTCAATCAAAGTGTCTGAATGGCACTGTTTAGCACATGTTTTACTTTTGATATGTCAATGTTGTTCTAACCTTCAGAGAGCTTTTTAGGTGTGCAAGCATATTTGGCTGGGCTTACATTTGCATTAGCTGCTTCACCTTGCAGTACACCTGTATTGGCCACTCTGCTTGGGTATGTGGCAGCATCCAAGGTATTTGTAATCTCAATTTCTTGATACTTTTTAACTCATTGTTAACTTGCACATATGTTTGAACAGTGAGGAATGCCTACTCAGATTGGTTATGGATTTTGTGGCTTTCCTATTTGGTATGCCATCAATTGGGGACTGCAACCATTCTGTCTGCTTGAATGCTGTCCATATCATATGAGAAATTCAGGGAGGAGATTTGGATCTTAACTTTACATTATGCTAAAACCTACTCTATCCATGGAATGGAAGCACAAGAACTACTGGGAACTTTAAGATGATTATTAGTGCCTTGAAGAAAGATTGTATGATAGAGATTAGGATAGTAGAGCATACAAAAGCACACTGCTATACAAATGGCATCATATTTTCAGTTGAGCTTTTGAAGTTGAAAATTGCAAGAGATACAACTAGATCTAATGGTTCTGGTTTGGAATAAATTTAGTCTTGACCTTTTTCTACTTCTGGTTAATGGATCTTTGTAGAATGCACATTTATCAATAGTGAGGTTTGGTGTCTACAGCATTCGTGATAAACTTTATACAACCAATGGCTAAATCAAAAGAGTGACCTTCCATTATGAGATGACATTTTTCTTCTCTTTCTTCACTAATGGTGTCAATCTATTTCATGCATGCATGATATATGTTTACTGGAACAGTAAGTAAATAAATAATTTGAACACTTCCCATTTCAGGACCCAGTTATTGGGGGAACCCTACTTCTGACATACACGACAGGCTATGTTGCTCCTCTTCTTCTTGCTGCTTCTTTTGCAGGTGCATTGCAGGTATAGTTTTTGGTTCTTAATCTCAATAGGAATATTCCTGGGTTAGGATTAAAGGATGAAAGAAACCATTCACCATGTCCATGCTGTGCAAATGAAGTACATACAGGGATATTAGGCCCTACTTTATGATTCCACCTATGAGATGTAGGCTAAACAAACAGAATAATCATGATCGCCTTCTCATTCTTCTAAATAGCCAAGTAAATTGCAGTGGAAGGGCCCGAGGAGATCCAGATATTGGGTGTTACAATCATCCAATCTGGTTAACCTTTTACATTCCTACATTCAATGGTTCAATCTTGAAACTGCTGATGTGACCCACCAAATGTTGGCCTTGAAATATCCACAAAGGCATCCTACATGTATACAGATAGAGGATGGCTTTTCTTTCCCCTGTCCTTTTTTCAGTAGAATCTTTCCCCTGTCCTTTTTTCAGTAGAATCTTTCCCCTGTCCTGAGAACTATTCTCACTTATATTCTTTCTTGTGATGAAAATAGATTGAGGTTGGAAAATCAATTCTAGCCATTAAAGCCTATGGACTTTTAAAGCACAGAGGGAAGGAGAACTTCATTAATAAACACCAGTAATCCCATGAGTAATAAAAATACCTTTGATTAGCTTCTGCCATTTTGTGCTTTAGAGGCCCATAGTCCTTAGGGTCGTATTGCTAGTATTTGTCACAGTTGAAAATGAGTTCACTTGTGCAAAACTGTTGCCTAAGATCAATATAATTACTGAAAACTCTATTGAGAGAGCTTCAAGCTCTCATCATCTAGATATCCAAGTTGAGCTTTATCTGTTTATATGTAACATGGAATTTAACCAGAAATTAAGGATGCTTGTCTTATTATATGTGCAGAGCCTGCTTTCATTTCGCAAATTCTCAGCATGGATTAACCCAGTGAGGTACATCTTGAAACGCTTAAATAAATGCAACACTGAATTTGATAATATGAAACACAACTACCTAATCTATACTTGTTATTCACAATATGCTTCGCATCTCCCCCTAAAATGATCACTGCTTGGCTAGGCTCTACCATACCTTCCAAATTCCTAGAGCCCTCTTCATGTTACCCCCAAGTTAGTGTTCCTTGGTGACCAAGAGGCAAAGGAGAGATCCTTGGGCTGACTTGTGGATTTCCTTTAAAATCTACTCATGTAGTCATGTCCGTGTTTCTCTTACATGTTTGAATTTGATTATTCTTGCAGTGGTGCTCTCCTTTTGGGTGGAGGCGTGTATACTCTGTTGGATAGGTTGTTTCCCCCTGCTACAATGGTAATGTAGCTTACAGTGAACTGGAAGCAGTGGTAATATATTAGCATTGGTTGGGAAGAAATTATCTCTACCAGGTCCCATCTCTCTCTCTCTCTCTCTCTCAAAATTAGAGCTGACAATGGGTCGGGTCTACCAGATAGAACCGAACCAGTTATATTGGTTCTGGTTCTGAGTTTTAGGTTCCAACTATAATTGGGTTGGACCAGTTTTTGTTGTTCTGAACTGATTATGTAATTAAGAATATAAAGGTCTCCTGGTTTTCTTGTATTTTACGTCTAAAAGGGTAAATTTCATAGACACTATATTAGATAATTTTGGTTATTTGCTATCATTTTTGTTTAGGTTATATTATCAAAAATGAAGCTCCAAGTTGCTATATCAAGGTAATTATAGAATGTCAAGTATAGGTCCCATTATCCCAATTAATAATTGATTCAATTCTGATTGAGTTCATAGAACTGATTAATATTGGTTTGGGACTGGACCACCATGTCCTGAATCAGACCCGACCTATTGATAGCTCTACCCTCAATCGCATGCACAAACAGGATTGAGTGACCCAAGTCAATCCAATCAACCATGCATCAGGTTCCGTTTGGGAAGATTACAAATATGTAGAGTGCATTCTCGTCCATGGATGCAAAGTTGGTTTAGTTTTGCATTGATAAGTTTTTCTTGCTGGATGATTTTTAGTTGTAATGGGTGCAAACATGAATCTCGAGATAGAAATATACCTTTTTAACATCGATCAACTTTGAGTGCAATGGATGTAAACTTTGCTCTTATTTTGAATGCAAACATGTCTTAAAATTTGTGAAAGCTGTCACTTTCAGTACATAAACATATTCTTACCAAACACCAGAAAATTTGAACCACAGTTCACGTATGCACTGAACAGACATTTGAACTCTTTCCAAACAGAGCCTTGAGACTATTTTGGATGTTAGATCTCTACGATTCAGTTAATTGAAGAGTTTATTCAGCGCCGTAGATAGCATGCTTTAGATTAAAGTCAAAAACTTCTTTTTTTTCCTTCTTTTTACATGTAATGGCATTTGGAAGCGGACTAAAGTCAGAAACTTGGGCGGTTTGGGGTCCTTTCCACCATAAACTTGGTTCCAATAAACCAAGCCTTTGTTGATCTCACCCTTAGAATCAATTATAATGATTTAGATTAAAGAATCTATAATCTAGAGAATGGAAAAACCAGAGCGGCAATTATCGTTATTCATATTAAAGAAGCAACATTCCCTTGAACGGAAAGAACAGTATGGCACACTAAATAAGTCTGGTTTATATTCTTCACGGGGGGTTAAAGCGATTGAAAAAAGAATTAAGGCTGTGAGATTGCTCTTCTTTGGTGTAATATCAGATGCCACCCACCTTCTCTTCACTTATTTTTTTCTTGCCTCATTCTACTCTCTGCGCTAGATCCAAGATCCAAGACTTAATCAATACATATTTGCCTGTATCACTCAAGTTGAAGCATCTGAAAGATCTAGGGACAGATAAAAAATGAAACGTGTTAATATGGCAAAAAGAATAATGGAACAGAATTCATGTGGCCGACTGGCCGGCCCCATATTATCGGGGTTGAATTGAATTCAGTATAGGGCTTCATATATATATATATATAGAAAGAGAGAGAGAGAGAGAGAGCTGAGTATAGCTGCATGTGGCATGGGTGTAAAATCCCAGTCTCAATGTCATTTCTATATTGACGAGTAGAAAATTAAAAAAAAAATAGATTGATTAAAAAATTAACTGATCATCAAAATTAGCATTTTTTAATTATTAATGAGATTTATATTGGTTTCTGAAACGTACCCATGCATATCTTAATTCTTTAATTGGTATTTCTTTAACATTTATCATGTATATCATAAGGTAGTTCACTATTCACATAAACTATCAAAATAATTCTTCTATATTTATTCCTTGTCAAAAGTTATTTGGGCCTTGGATTTTGTGTTATTTGATTCATTTATGGGATCTTTATGAATTCCACTAATGCATTCATAGATATTCGAATCATTCCACTGTACCACAGAGTGCATCATACATGTGCCCCACAGAACATCCTAATGCAAATATGTAAGGTGCAAAACCTTACATTTCTTATGTATTTACGTTGTATATATCTGTATTTGTACTCCTTCCATACTGAGTCTTAGGCTGTGTTTGGTTAAAATTTGCACTAGTACAAATGCATGGGAGTGCAGATGAAAAAAATGCAAATTCTCATTTAATTTTGTTTTGGGTTATACTTTATTTTGCTCAATGTCTTAATTTACTTCATTTGTACTGTCATCAAACAAAATAAATTAAAATTTGAAACAAAAATAGGTCAGAATTTACACCTCAAATCATTTGCACTGCCATAGTTTTGCAGCAGTGCAAATTTATTTGCATTACAATCAAACACAGCCTTTGAAATATCATGGGGCCAAAGCAAATTTTTGTTATCTTGTGGCAATGAGTAAAATCTTTGGCACATTCTTCTAAATATAATGTTGTCTCTCCCTGCTGGTTTTGCGATTTTAGGGGGTGTTCTGAATTGTTTTTTCTCGTTGGTGGTAAAAAAAATATCAAAACCATTTAGTTTGAAAAATGGATTGTTAGCATATTTGTGTATGTCTTTTTTATTTTCAAGTGCTTGAAGAGTGAAATTTTTGTTTTGTTCCGGTAAACATAATTTTGATGGTTTCAAGAACATGAAAAACAAAACCATCTTGTTTTCACTTTTCAACATAAAAAAAAAAAAAAAAAAATAGAGAAACATTATTCACACTGTAGAACACCCTCTTAGTATCTACATGGACAGATTCTTTGACTGGACTAGCACCTGACTCTGATAATCAGTCATTTGACCATCGGTTCTATTTATATACTGTACATCATATTGGCCTACAACTTAATGGTGGATATGGCACTAAATGAAGCAAAATAGGGGAACAGGATTCATGTGGCCCACCCCACATGGCTGGGGGATTTGGGAGAAGACTTGGTTGAATTGAGTTGAGTTGAATATATATATAGCCTGCATGTGGCATGAACGTCCCAGTTTCAGTGTCATTTCAATTGTATCAGTATCCTTATCATCCAAGCCTTATCCTAACATATGGGGTTGGCTACATTAGTTCTATTAATGCTACATTTATTGAATTATTATTATTACTTAAATCACTTCTTATTACTTTTACTTATATCATTTTTTTTTAATCTTAGCTCTTGGATATGGATGAATGATCCCTTAACACCAGTATGGTATCAACTAAATAATTATAAAAATAAAAAATTTAATTGATCATCAAAGCTAGTATCTTCCTAAGTGTTAATGAAAAATATACATCCATCTATATTTTACTTCTTTTACCCAAATGTTAAAAAAAACGACTCGAAACCGGAACCATTCTGGCCACAAGTTTTTAGATTGACAGTTCAACCGCCCGGTTTGAACAGACAGCCTGTTCTAACAAAAAAAATTAAAAAAATTAAAATATAAAATGGTCAAAACTGTTAAATGGGTCAACGGGTCATTGACTAATTCAACGGTTTTTGACCTGAGACGGGGTTTGGGGTAAAATGGAATTGGTTTTTTAGACAATTTTCTGGCCAAACGGTAGTTCAAAAACATTGACTTTACCAATTTTTTAACCTTTCTCATGTATCATATGGTAATCCATTATTCAAATATTACAAAAAAGGGAAAATCTATGATATAAAAAAGATATGGTATAGAAGGAGTTTTGATCAATCAAAACCCACCCATGAATTTTGATAAATCACACCATATTCTTAGCCACGTTTAAGATTCTGTGTTATTGGTCAGTTATTTTTCAGTTATCATATCTTTTTCATATCATAGTCGAACCCTACAAAAAATTATGATTCTTTTATGCTTATATCTTGTGCCATTTGTGCCTTGGATTTTGTGTTGGTGTTGCCTTTTTGGCGTTAATATGAATTCCCATACTCTTAGAGTATCTAAATTTGGTGAGAAAGGATTGGATGAATGAATTCGATGGGTGTGTTATGGGCTGTGGGACCAATAATAACATCCCACCCCAATCATAAATGCAAATTAAGTAAGAGGTTGATGATGAGAAAATACTATTAGATAAATTTGATAGGTGTTTGTGGTATCCATTATTTGGAGCCATACCAGTAATAAATGAAAATGAGAGTGAGGGGATCATAGGCCATATGTACTTTATATATATGGCTGGTGTGGAACTGGAACAAAATAATTAATCCCACGTCCACTAAAATACAGGTATCAAATTCATGTAATACTCTCTCATTTTGCATATATGATCGATGATTGACTTGGGGTGCTATTATTGGTCCCACAGCCCATAACACAGCCATCCATCATTCAAATTGGACATGTCGATACTTTGAATTGAACCTTCGGTCGGTGATATATGCATATCTTGTAATGTTATGTTTTTTTTTTTCTCAATTTAGAAACTCTCTCAATTAATCAACTGGTGTGTGTAGTGGTGGCCTGCTAGGTGGTGTTCCCATTCTTTAATTAAATGTAGTAATTCCCATTGTCTCTTCTGCTGGTTTTGTATTTCCAGTATCTACATGACTGGAGCAATGTGTGTGGAGGAGGTTTATGTTTGTGGTTGAAGCTTGAAACATAATTTCGAAGTACCCGGCCGGCCGGCCGGCCATTATGTGGAACGTAGCTTGAGCTTGGCGTAATGGCACAGGTGGTGGGATGAATGTGATAGAACCGCCTGATGTATGAGCTCAAATTTAAGTTGATTTCAAGGACTAGTAGTACTACGTACTGAACTGCATGACTTCATTGCCGCTTGTCGTAATCTGGAATTTGAACCTTGGCTGATCGATCAGCATATATGGCAACAATCTAGCTAACTAGACAAATTTTGACAAAATAATTAAAACTTGGGAGAGGAGAGGACTGATGAATCGGTGGTGTACACAGTAGAGCCTCCACCACCCAAAGTAGTCCTTCTCTTGGGTTGCTTGACAAAACTCCGTTCGTGTCACCCTGTCTATAAATGTATGTGGTGGATAAGGGAGGGAATTGAAAGGGGAGAATGTGATTGATACGTGGCAACCACTCCCAGTTGTTCATTCCACTTGGCATGCATTCAGCAGAGGCGCCATGTTTCGCCTCGTCCCACCCAAAACCTGTATGAATTTATTTAATGAGAGACCACGTACGGTGATCAAACAAACAATCCAGTCCCAGACTCTCAGTCACCCAAACTGATGAAAGGCCAATCTCCACTCTCCAGTTACGCCATCCCTACTTGTTTTTGGTCGGTTTTGGTTTATGTAATATTGGGGGTGCGTCCTTTTTCTGATTTTTGAGAGGGGAAAAGTTGGTCAATAGAATTTTGATTTATATTGATTAAAAATTGTGTGTTCTTTTTTCAGATTTATGTGGGGATTAAGGAAAGTTTATTTTCGTGGGTATTAGTTACCTAGGTAAGTGATACACATCTCCTATGTGTGTAAATAACTTTCCCATCTTGGAAAATGACAAAAATGCCTCTTATAATAATGGATTTTCATGGATAAAATGGTAATTGCTTTACTCGTATAAGAAATAAAAGAACATAGGTAAATGCACTTACTCAAATAAATCTTTTTTGAAAAACAATTATCTAGATAAATGCATTTACCCAGATAAATAACTTATCAAAATACACGAACTGGACCTATGTATGACCAAATAGACATGCACGCAGTACCTAAGGAATAACAGTACTCAACTGACACTCCCTCCAAAAGTCTAAACCCACTTAACTAAATCTGCCAACTAGTGAAAACGATGCCTTAATTAACACATACTCATACGCCTCCTCCAAATTCAACTCCTTGATCAAAACCCCCTCACAGAGTCACAGTCACATGGAGATGAGAAGCTCTCTCTCTCTCTCTCTTTCTCCTTCCTACACTCCACGTCCGAATAACTTAGCATTTTCATTAGGCATCGTTTGGCTGTTGAGTGTTGACTTACACATAACACACACCTAACATAAACATAGTAACATGGAATGGAAGACCGGAATTGGGTTTTCTATATAAATAATTTGCTGGCTTCAGTGTGCACCTGTCATTAATTCCACCATGAGCTAAGCACACTAATAATGATAGATTGATTCCCCTGTGACCTGTGCTTTTATCATGTCACGTTAATCCATTGTTGCATTTGATCTCTTAATTAATTATCTATTTTGAATTTTAATGATGGCTTATACTCTAATTTCATTCCCCAAGTTCAATCAGTGTTCTAATTCTGGGAATTGGGTTAAGCAATAATAAACTGTGTTTGGTTTGATTGAAATAAAAGAGAATCTGAAAGCATTTTAATAATATACAAATTAACTATGAGAGGAACCTCACTCTCTCTTTCTCTACGGGTACGGTGCCCCCTCATCAAAAATCTAAAAGAAATTCATTTATTGAATTATTAGTCGTGCCCGCTCTTTGAGAAAGAGCCTACACAGCGTCTAATTTCTATCATTATTCTCTTTGGCATCTCTTTATCGTTGCACATGGCTTGTATTCATATAAAATGCAGCGGCAACGACAACAAAATCCAGAGTCCATAGTATACCCACAACTTGATGGGCCTAAGTAAAGTCTAACAACAAAATCCAGAGGACTATGGGCCCACCAGTGCAGCCCGAGAAGAGAGCTCTCTGTCCAGTGTAACCCACATATTCCGCTCTCGCTCCCTTGTATTATGCGCATTGCGCAATACTTTGGCGTTGGATTTTATCACTCTGAATTCTTTATTCTGAATCCTCCGCCGGAACCGGAGGAGGATCCTGTACGTCACTTCAGTCTTTTACACCTACAAACCCACTAGTTTATCGTAATTTTTTCGGATAAGTATTACGACACTGTAGACTGTAAAAAATTTGAGCTAACGATAGATGATTCAATCGAGCGGTCTCCCTCTGTCAAATCAAATGTAAAGGTTAGAAGTAGAAACAGTTTTTTTTTTTTTTTTAATGCAATCAAACTATTAGTATTTACTATCCGATTTTAAGAACCACTGCAAACAAATCAATCCTTTATACAGACATCCATTATAACAAATTCCATTTCTATAAATAAAGAAACCCAAAACAAAGTCAAGCAGACTTAAGACTATTTTTTCCCTCATCCTCGTAAATTTTCTGAAAGAAATGAAAAAACAGAAACATTTTCTTCCTTTTAATGGGTTCCACGGTTAATCATCTCCCTGTATTGATTCAACGACTCCTGCCTCTGCAACCTCATCTCTTCATTGAATTTTTTTATAAACGCTTCCACCCGCCGGTTCAGCTCGTCTTGACTCAGCGACGGTTCTTTCCGAAACTTCCCCGAACCACCCGGGGACGGACTCAGCGACGTCTCCAGATTAGTACGGTCCCTGAACGTCTCTGCTTTCTTCACTTTCGCGGGGCTTGGCTCTTGCGTTCCCTGGCTCGGGTTGCTATGGCGACCGTGTGTTTCCCACGTCTCCGACTTCTTCAGATGCCTCGTCAGTGGCATCGGCCGGCCGGCCGTTATCGTCTTCCACGTGTTTTCCAGCGTATCGTTTCGTTTCGGCTTCGCCACCCGCAACGCCCTTCCACCTAATCAGTAGTCACAGTAAACAATGTCATCGGAACGTTAATATTTTCCCAAATACATTTCTATGAACTTTTTATCTAGAAATTGCAATCTCTGTTTACGCATTTGTCTTGATCGAACAGTGCCAGAACTATGTAATTGGAAATTGGAATCTTTATATTTCTCCATAGATTTTAGCGGCAAATAAACGCAGTTTTTTTCTCATCACATATAATGGCCATAAATTATGAAAAACGAAAAGAAATTGAAAAAAAAAAAAAAACAAAGTAGCAAAAACTGAAAAAGAAAAGAAACCAGAAGCATTCCCGCCGGGAGCCAGCCGGATTCATGGCAATACGACGGGAAAATCTCCTTCCACCACCGAGGAAATTGATGCAAATTATAAACAAAGAAAATGGGCTTCTGATAACGTGCACCAAGAAGGCCGGTACATGTTACCTTCTCGCTAAAAATCTTATCCTTATAATATATTGCCAATAATTTCAGAGAGAGAGAGAGAGAGAGAGTGAGAGTGTAGTAATACCTTCAGGGCTAGCTCTGACGATTTTCCGACCAAACCTTACAGAAACCAGAGGTTTCTCGGTTGGGAAGGAATATTCCGTTGGAACTTCCGTCGAATCCCTCCGCTGCGGAGTCCAAGTCGATCTAGAGATAACAAAATCATCCTCGTCATACTCCTCCGGAGCTCTCGTCAGAAGAGTTTTAACCTCGACAGCCTCTGCTTGACCCTGACCGTACCCTGACAAAGGCTCCAAAGATTCAAACTCTGTTGGAGTTTCCTCGGGGTTCTTCATCGCAACAACATCATATCCTAACTCCGGTCGTTCCACCACTACATGCTCGTCTAGAACAGCGGCATCCTCGTACACAGCTGTGGTGACAACAAAATCAGGCTGCACCTCGGCTTTCAGGGGAGCCCCCACCATCTCGGGCCGCTGCTCATCGACCTTCTGCTGAAACCTCGAAGACGCAGCTATAGTGATGATGATCCCGTTAATGATAACGTAGAGGTAAGGAGGCGTAAGCCACGAGAGCAGAGACCCCCATATCAGAGGAACCTCAGTAGCTACGAACTCCATTATCACCGGAACAGAAAGCTTTAGAATCACAGCCAAGGAAACAACACCAGCTGAAATCAGCAAAACCTTGAGCGAGAGGATCCAACTGCTTGAGCTCCGAGAGAAGACCGCCATGTTATCCGGTAAGACGAACTCGGTGGGATTGGATTCTTACCTTTCCGTCTGGTTCCCTGTTGGGGAAGCTTACAAAGTGAGAGGCAGACAAGAGGAGAGCTGGAGAGAGGATATTTGAAGGGAAGCAAGGAGGCATAATATATAGGGAATGGGAGAAACTGTTTGCGATGAATTGACAACCGTTCGATGTGGAGAAAGATGTTCGATGGTTAAGCAGATCGAGGAGTGATGAGCTCTGGGCTTTCCTTTACTCATGCTCCTGGGCCCTGGCAGCAAGTTGACGGAGAGAGAGTTGTAGGGTACATAATTTCGGCCTTACTTCATGTGATGACTTGACTAAAATGTCCTTCTACAAACAACCAAATATCAATTCTCTGCCAGAAAAGGACAAAATAAAATTCTTTTTGTAAGAGGGTTTATGGTCAGATAAACCAAACCCGGCAACTCACAACGAACCCGGTTCACCGTCTGGTTCAGAGGGCAGTTAGGTAATTCAAGAAGATTAAACTACTAAACAAGGGCTAAAGGGAAGCTAATCTTTCTAGAGAATCCAAACAACGAACTACTGTTTCTGGGTTCTGGTACTAATTGAAAGGTGTCAGAGTATATATATATATATATTTTTTGAATTTTAAAAAAGGAAGGGAATTTCTCAACGGTAAATTAAATGACCGTTACATACGGAAGTTGCAGGAGGATTCCTCGGGGCTCAGGGCCTGAGGCGCCGGCCTCATGCGTGCGGATACAGTTGGCACGTGCCGAACAGCTCGGCTGAAGGGCCAGAACCGACCAAAGCAAAACAAGAGATTGAAAAGGCGAAAAGGTGAAATGTTACAGTGGGAGTTGTCCTACCGTAACGAGAAAGGCTAGTAGATGGAAATTACAGAGAAAGGTTGGGACTTGGGAGTTATATAGTAGTAAAGGAAGAATTGATGGTGTGGGTTGGTGGGGCCCAAATGATCAGTAGTCGTGCCTTTTATCCATCTCCTTTCGTATGGTGGGAGGACAAGGCTTTTGTTTGTCCTTTTGCTGAGCCCGTAAAAGGAAATTTTTACATTTTAAAAAGGAAAAATGTAAATTGTTGTCAAAGCCATATGACTAGATGAGACTTCTACGCATTACTTGGTCACAAGCCATATGGGTTTTGGGCCCAGTAAGCATGATGGGCCATATGTTAAGACGATCTGTGGTTAGGTCATGGGTGGGTTTGGGCATCTAAGACTAAGAGCCATCTGATTGGGCTGGACTGGGCTTGGCCTCGGAAGGATTGGTTTAGTATTGAGAGTTGGTAGTACTGTAGTAGTGAGTAGACCACCAATTGAAGGAGATCGTCTTCAGTGCTCATAAACCGTGCTCACACCGGTTGCACAGTCTTTTACATCCGTGTATTGGGAATATTTCCGTATCTATATGTTTGCAAGGCTGCAAGGGACTGTACCTATAATGTGAGAACGGTGTTGTAAGGACCAAATCCGATTTTCAATTGAAGGGCTGAGATGATCTAAAGACAATAAATAGCGTGACTAACATTCACCATAAAACGTTAATTCGGAGGTTGGAGATTGGAGGCAGAAGAAGAAGTAGGAGGAGAATAGTTTTCAAAGACGAACCAACCAACCGATAAGTAGGTGTTGAAATAAGGACCATTTACTACTGTGGATTGTGTGTGGAGAGAAGAAAACAGACCACATAATTTTAGGTTTCAGGTGGAAAAGTAGGGATCTTGATTTGAAACGCAAACCCAAAATTAGGCCTCAGAACTTAACAAGCAGGCGTGCTCGTTTCTTGTGATGGTAACGCTTCAAGTTCAAACCTCGGACCGACCTCTCATGTCATTTACGTGTGAGCACTGAGAGGCAGCCTGCAGGGTTCGAGTTAATTTTCAATGTAGGCAGCTGAGCTTGGGTTTTTTAAGCTTAGTGCCCGTTTGGGACGTGCGTGGCTTTTGACGTTTTGAGCGGGGACCTATACAGAAATGTCTCAGAAGTTGTGTTTGGTAAAAATTTGGAAAGCCTATAATGCCTAACCCACTATTCAAATATAAAGCTACTTTGAATGTAGCTTATCTGGAACACACACAAGTGTTCAACCACCAGAGCCCAATTAACACAACGCATGTCAAATGCAGAAACCCCCCTCCCACAATGGGCTTATTCCTTACTCCTTATACCGGCCTGTGTTGAGTAGAGAAGCTGGCATCGTAGGCCTGCCTTCCAGTTTCCTCAGTTCCTCCTACTATGACATATAAGGGTAGAATCAAGGTTTTTTTTTAACTGCCATTGATTCAGATGGTCGGACTGTTCGCCCAGGAATCGTCCAGGCAATCAGTTCCGTTTTACCCCAAATATGATTTTTGGCTAAAAATTGTTGAAAAAGTCAATAACCCTCTGATTCGGACGGATGAATCGTTGACCCGTCCACTCGTTCAACGTTTTCTGACCGTTTTTTTATTTTTTTAATTTATTTGTCAGAGCGGGCCATCCATTCGAACCGGATGATTAGACCATCGACCCAGAAACAGGTGACTAGAACGATTCCATTTCCGAGTCATTTTTTAAAACGTTGATTAGAACCCTTTTCATAAATCCCCATTGTTTCATTTAAATGGTTGAGTTATGTTTTTCCCTTACCAAGAAAACAAAACTTTATTTTTCATGTAGTTTATATAAAACAAATTAGGAGGGGTGGTAAACAAAGTATTTATTATAAAATGGGCAAAAAATAGCTGAAATATTTCATTTAGATAGGTTTTATATCCAGTTTCTATAGAGAAGTGAGTGCAACCGAGCAATAAGAGGAAATTAGTTGCACCCTGTTTTTCAATAACTTAGTTCATCCATTTTATTAACTATAATTATTCCTCCTCTTCAATAAAGAGTCGTCGTCGTCATATAAGTCTTGTCCCAACTATACAAGCCTGACTACATGAATTATATTTCACAATTCCATCCTATGTTATATATATTTTTTTTGGTAATAGAAAATGAGATTTCATTAAAATTTATGGAGGATACATGATTAGATAGTCATTAAGCAGGATTTGCATTAACCATGAAAGCACATTCATTCTTTCACAAAGATTAATGTTAAGGTGCCAGGCTTTAGAAGCTAGGTGGTGAGTTGCACTGTGTGCTCTTCTAGAGATGCTGATTATCTTGCTATCCAGAAATCTTTCTCGGAGATATTTGATATCACTTAATAATGCCCCTGTAGGAGAGAAACGGGATGAAGCCTCATGGTTGATAGCCTTGGAAGCATTTCGAGCATTCGTTTCTATGTTAATTCTTGAATGAGGGAGATTACTACTTTCCTTTAAACCCATTCAAACTGCTTGGAGCTCAGCCGCTTCTACTAATGGACTTTGGATCTTTTCAGTTTTGGCTTTTAAGAGTATTCCTTCATTAGTTCTAACAATGCAAACAATTGTAGCTTCTTTTGAGGCTTCTCTAAAGGACGCATCACAATTGCATTTGATCCAGCCCATGGGAGGAGGATTCCAAGTTGCAAATGCCTCTATCTCAGAGTCTCGAGGATTGTTGATGTTACAAGATGTATTGTACTCTTCGAGCTAACTAATGCTTTGAGCTACTACTGAGGTTGGGTGTCTATCCACTTGATTGAAATGCCAGTCATTCCTGGCTTTCCAGATGTTCCAGCATATGAAAAAGTGAAGAGCTATCCCTTTTTTCCTATCACTTGAGCTCCACCAAGGAATTTGCTTCCAACTCATTATCCAATCTTCTATGTTATTGTACTGAAAATTATCATATCGATAACTCATGGGGCTAGTAATCCATACTGCTCTAGCAAAATCACAAAACTAGAGTAAGTGTTGAATGGATTCCAACTCATGGAAGCATTTAGGACATTGACCTTGGTCTGTAATATGGCGTAGGAGCAGGTTTTTTTTCACTGCTATTGCTCCTATGCAGCAAAGCCAAATAAAGTTTTTGACTTTTTGGGGGCCTGAGATTCCAAAATTCCTTGTTTGGGTGTAACATGGGGTTACTGGCTCCCCACTCATGATGGTATCCCGATTTCACTGTGTAAGCTCCATCATTAGTGCAATTCCATATCGGGATATCTTCAGAGTCATACCAAGAAAGAGGGATAGTGAGGATGGCTTGTACCTCTTGATTCGAAAAATTTTGTCTAACATCCAAGTTCCATCTCTGTGGATGCTACAACATCAAATCAGCTACTTGGTTTAGACTTGTTTGATCTAGCTTTGGGGTCTGAATTTTTCCATTTGGTAGCAATGGAACCCACTGATCCTCCTAGATATTTGTTGTTCTCCCATTTCCGATTCTTCTAATTAGGCCTTTCATTAGGAAATTCCTTCCAGAAATCACGCTTCTCCAACCCCAAGATGGGTTCAAGCCTGTTGGAGTTGAAAGGAAATCTGTATGGGGGAAATATCTTGCCTTCATTAACTTTCCCCAAAGGGAGTCATCATCCTACAGAAGCTTCCATGCTAATTTCGCAAGTAAAGAAAGATTAAAAATAGATAGGTTCCGAAAACCAAGACCTCCTGATGTTTTACTACCACAAAGCCTCTTCCAACTTATCCAAGTAATTTTCCTTTCATCTTTTCTTTTCCCCCAGAAGAAAGGATGAGCACTTACTATAATTTTTCTGAATCAAGTAGGAAGGAATTTTGAAGTGACTCATTAGGTATGATGGAGTAGTGACCACTGATTTAATTAAGGTTTCTCTTCCAGATTGAGCCAATAGTTGATGTTTCCAGCCCTTCATTTTGGACATTGTTTTTTCCAACATTTCAGTAAGGTTTTCCTTCTTCTTCCTTCCCATTGATAGATTAAGCCCCAAGTATTTTGCCGGGATGGCACATTCTTTGATCCGAAGCATTGATGAGAGGATACGCCTAAAGCGGCGAGGAGTGTTGCTATTGTAGTAAATATATGACTTAGAGAAATTTATCAATTGTCCAGAGGCAGAATAGAACTCATCTAGAATACTTTTTAATTTCAAAACATTCTGAATATCAGCTTTAATGAAGAAAATGCAATCATCAGCAAAAAACAAATTCAAAACTTGGGGAGCTTGTCTTGAAATTTTTATACCTTGGAGCTGTCCTGAATTTGCTGTTTGGGAGAGGACAGTGGA